AAGACAAAAAAAAAAAACCACCTAATCCTTTCCGCACACAACACCTATTTCATCCCATTCACAGATTCCAAAACCAGAGACACACACTTTACGCCACATCAATAAAAGTACATTTTTTCCCGGTCAGTATTTAAACTCGTCTCCATTTGCGCGCGAGATAAAGAATTTCTCAGGCTTCCTTCAATGTCCAGCAACCACTGCCTGCTCTCTAGGGTCTGACTGGCAGTGGCCCGTGACAACTGCGGTACAAGAAGTGCTGAGCCTGGCTCGTAATGTCAGTGCCTGGTTGCTTGGCATCAGTGCCAACTAGATGGTGATGTAACAAGTGTAAGGTTGATATCGCTCCCAGGAACCGGTGCCGAGATTAAATCTGTGACGTCATATTCTTATCGTTTTAATAATTTTGCTATTTTGGAGATGGAAATAGGAACGAAGGTGTAAGGGAATGAGAGAGAGAGAGAGAGAGAGAGAGAGAGAGAGAGAGAGAGAGAGAGAGAGAGAGAGAGAGAGAGAGAGAGAGAGAGAGAGAGAGAGTACATTTGTGACGCCATACTGTTATTATTATAAATATTGTAATTTTGATGCTAATCCGAGTTTGTACGAGAAAGAGAGAGAGAGAGAGAGAGAGAGAGAGAGAGAGAGAGAGAGAGAGAGAGAGAGAGAGAAGGGATAGTAACTGGTAGAGAATCAGGGCAAAGAGGCAGACGAAGAGGAAACCCTATATACTCTAGTTCCACAGAAATCCCACATAAACATATCTCGCCGGACACTACAACGCACAAAATTCTGCGCGGGAAGAGAGAGAGAAATTGGGGTAAGAGTATGCACTGCCCAGGGGAAGAGACGAAGGAGGATAATTAAAAATGAAAGGAAGAAAAAGAGGTATATAGAATGAAATGAATGAAAAAAGTCACTTATCTGCTAACATACATAAATAAACATGGCCAAACTCATACATGTAGATAGATAGATAGACATATGCATAAACAGATAGGCAGACAAATAGATATAGATAGATCGAGAGGAGAGGAGAGAAGAGAAGAGAAGAAAGAAAGAAAAGGAGAAGAAACAGAAAGAGACAGAGATCAAGAGAGAAAGGGGGGCAGGGTCATCGGGGAACGAGAGCAGACAGGCACGACGTCTCCCACAGAAACCGTAATCCTAGCGATTGAAAACCGTCTTGGAATAGCAACACAAAGCACTAGGCTGTTAAAGGGATCTATGTCTTACGGGGGAAAGATCTCTTGTTTTGTTGTTTCTTTCGTATTATATTTCTCCTTATGGCTTTCTTTTTTTTCCGTCTGTTTCGAGTAATTAATTTGATTTCTATGTTTGTTTCGTTGGGTTTGCTTACTCTTTCCCTTGCTTTTCTTATTTTTTCCTTTTCTTCCTTCCCTTCCCCTCACAATTTTTCTCTTTAACTCTTCTTTTCCTTCTCCCTTTTCCTTTTCCCTTTTTTCTCTCTCCCTTTCGTTCCTTTCCATCTCCTTCTTCTCTCTCTCACTCTCCCTTCCCCTCTCTTCCTTCTCTCTCTCCCTCCCTCTCCTTCTCCTCCATGGCCCTATAATTTTCCTTTTGGAGACGTTATCATTTCCTTAATTAGATCTGAATGCGAGTAATAAATGCGGGTAATGCTGTCAAAAGCCGCAAATAATATCAATGTAGATCAGCCGAGATTGAAAACTAGAGGGAACCCGAGGACAGAGGGAGGGTATTCGATTACATCTATAGTGAGGTTAGACAAAGGTCTCGTCTGTGTTATGTTCCAAAACCGGTTCCAGGGGATTCGTACTCATTTTGAACCCATTTCCTGCTACCTGAAACTTCTAGCTTTTTCTGTTTTACATACACATATTGAAGATTGAAGGATATAAATTCTATAGACCGACAAGGAGGCAGGTATGCGAATAAACAGACAGGCAGACAGACAGACAGATACGCGGAGAGACAGACAGGTAGGCAGACACACTCACACACACACAAACAAAAATTTAAGTTACCAGACAAACAACCGCACGCATACACATAAAGACATTTAAGTTACCAGACAAGCAACCGCACGCACACACAAAAATATAAAGAGACAAAGGTACACGGGCACACATACACACATACACACACACACACACAAACACACACACACACACACACATACACACACACACACACATACACACACACACACACACACACACACACGCACACTCACACACATGCACACACTCACACACACACACACATACACACACAGACACACACTATATGCTGCCAGGACAACATACGCAGATGTGAGACAGCTGTCATGGCCTTCTAAATTTGAAACGTGTCAATTTTATAATCATATTATTTTCACTTTGCAAAGAAGCCTTGTTCATTCCCATTATTATAAATGTAAATTCTGTGTGCGTTCTTATGGACCTGATGATATGTCCTGTTTAAAATTACATTGTATATTTCAAATATTATATCTAATGAACAGAAGCTCTTTCCAGTCTCAACA